AAAAAAAAAAAAAAGAAAAAAAAAAAACTTGCTACTTCTTAAACATTTCCTTAAAGAACCATGTTAGGTAGTAACACAACATTTATAACTGCAAACTAAGGGCTTCCTTGATGTTTGCTCAGCTAGGCCATTGGGTTAGGTGTTCACAGGAATAGCAGCTAATCCAAGACCTAAGGCATCCAAACAATACTGACCTAAGATGGTAAGGTGTGAAATAAGAGTGAAAATTCTAGATAGATGATTAATTTCAACATGCCAATGTTTATTTTAAATACAAATCTAGTATCTTCATTTGCATGACTGCTTTACAGAGGCTCAGGGTTTTTATTAATGGACTGTTCATAAAACATCTTGCAGAAGGATACAAGCCTCACTACTGTTGGGACAGAAGACACCAGCAAAAGAGTGCTAAGTTCCACAGTGTCCAGCAAGGCCTCAGGCAGAGGTACAAGTAAGCATCAATGCCCTGGTACCAATGCGTTTACAGAGCCTCACCTCGGGTCTAGGCCTGAGGCCAATGCTAAAGAAGAGTCAGCAGCCAGAGTGTGGGGCCCTCACCAGCTGCAACTCTGGCCTGGTGTGATGGGGGCCAGGCAAGCAGCCCTCATAAAGCTCCACTCCTGGCCACACCACTGCAGTCTGGTGCAAAGGCAGCCTAGGGAAGAGGCCCATGGAATGGTCGGCAGCAGGACTCACTTAGCCACACTGGCAATCATAGGAACCACATGGCACAGCCAACGAAACTCTCGAGGACACCCTCAGCAGGTCTACCCTCAGAACATCTGTTTATGAGCACAATGCCAGCCTGGTGCCTCAGTTTCCCACAGGCAAGGTCCTTGACACAGCTTATCCTCAACACAGCACCTCCTAAGCACCTCTCCATTCATCCAGAATGAGGCAGCAGCTGTTACTTATAGAAACAAGCAACAGAGGCATCTGTATGGATTTTTTTCTTTTTCTTTTTGAGATGGAGTCTTGCTCTGTCACCCAGGCTGGAGTGCAGTGGCACGATCTTGGCTCACTGCAGCCTCTGACTCCCAGGTTCAAGAGATTCTCATGCCTCAGCCTCCTGAGTAGCTGGGATTACAGGCATTTACCACCAGGCCTGGCTAATTTTTTTGCATTTTAAACAGAGATGGGGTTTCACCATGTTGGCCAGGCTGGTCTTGAATTCCCGGCCTCAAGTGATCCACCCACCTCGGCCTCTTAAAGTGTTGGGATTGCAGGCGTGAGCCAATGTGCCCAGACACCTGTGTAGACTTCGAACACTGAGGCCATGGGCACATGACACAGATGTGGTGCGCCACTCCTAGTTGTTAGCACCAGGGTCAGCTCAAAGTCAGGATTTAAGGGCACCCAGGAACCTGCACACACCTGACACACACAGTGGGCAGAAACTCACCTGTCACTTGTATCCACTAAACACTCAGCAAAATATAACACAATCAAATTCATGCTTACACTTCAAGGGTAAGCTGAATCTGGCTTCAGGAAGAGTCAGCTGATTTTTAAATAAGCCAGTCATTTAAAAGAAACATGTCTCTAAATTTAGAGTATTGATAGAATAAGGTGTATTTTCTTTTAAAGAAAATATGTAAGTCCTCAATATCCTTGCTATTCTAAACTATAGTATTTGCAACAAACACTGAGCAAATTGAACACAATTCAAGATTAATGAGATAGGTGATGAAGAGATCTAGAAACACCTAAATCAAGACGAAAACAGCAGAGAAAGAGAAAGGTGACAGCAGGTGCATGTGGCCAGACCCCGTCACTTCTGGGCCCTGATCTCTTTTTAGGTGAATCTTGAAACACTTCATGTTTGGCCTCTCCAAAGCGCCTCAATAACGAACCTTCGGAGATACAGCACTTTTTTTGTATTTTAAATTGATACCCAAATATGTCACAGTTATTTTTACATTCATATGTCAGTTTTCTACAATTCGTGTCCAAGCACACACATATCATGAATCTAACCATTGTTACACATCTCTAAATCTTAACAGTGTCAACTCTTCCCTCCTCTTGCCACTGCTCAAAGGAAAGTAGCAGTTTTTGTTTTTTGGGTTTTTATTTTTTTTTTTTTTGAGACGGAGTTTCGCTCTTGTTACCCAGGCTGGAGTGCAATGGCGCGATCTCGGCTCACCGCAACCTCCGCCTCCCGGGTTCAGGCAATTCTCCTGCCCCAGCCTCCTGAGTCGCTGGGATTACAGGCACGCGCCACCATGCCCAGCTAAGTTTTTGTATTTTTAGTAGAGACGGGGTTTCACCATGTTGACCAGGATGGTCTCGATCTCTTGACCTCGTGATCCACCTGCCTCGGCCTCCGACAGTGCTGGGATTACAGGCTTGAGCCACCGCGCCCAGCCTGCACTTTTTGTTTTTTAAGCCAAAGGCCTAGGAACAACCAAAGGATGCTTGAATTCAAGGTCAGTCCAGTCACTCTTCTTGCCCTATGAGCACTCAGGCAAACAGGCCAGGAGCTGCCCATACTCAGGCCCCTTGAGGTGCAGACTACAGCCAAACCAGGAGGGTTGCTCTCAGAAGCGTGGGAAGTGCGGCCTCCCTGGAAGTAAAGGCCTGAAGGCTGACCCTACCACATCATGTAAGCCTGGAATCCAAGCTTGGAGCCACAGGCCAGACGGGACCACACAGAACAGCTCTCATGAGCCAGGAAACGCAGACAGCAGAGGCTGTTTTTACTGTGACCACACGCAATTGGACTGCTGGCCCAAACCCCACAGGTCAGAAACGGGAAGAGTGAACACACTTCCCTACAGTTCCAAGACCAGAGCTCAGCTTGCTACACTACACCCATCAACGTAAGTGGAGGACATCAGCATAGCACTATGTTTACCAGAGTCTTCTTCAGCCTGGACAGGGGCCACCAGGGCAAACTTGGTGTTGTAGCGTGCTCTCTGCTTCTCACTCAGCAGACTCCACTGTGACCTGAGCAGCTCTTCAATCTCCTCACCTGAAGCATCTGGGTGCTCAGCCACCACCTGTGGGCAAGGGAGAAGATGCCCTAAGAAGTTAAATCCATAAAACTCACTGGGTTTTGTTTTGCATGAAATCAAATGCATGACCCTTTAGAACTCGGTGCATGGCTTTTTTATTCCCACATCAAGGAAATATGTCCATAACAGCTTCAAAGAAAAGTAGCGCTTAACTGATGCTGTGACTCACTGAAAACTCATAAATGAGAATAGTGCCGGTGAAAACAAATTCAACTCTACTTCTGTAAATGTTGGAAATGATAAATGACACACACACATACACACACACACTCTCTCTCTCTCTCTCTCTCCCTCTTCCAAAACCACTAACTCACTTAAGACCCAGCCTCTAGGCATCCTTGAAAAATTAGCTGTAGAGCCAGTGCCACAGGAACACTGCCCCTGAGCATGGAGGTGGGCTCTGCTCTGTGTCCTCACTGGGCAGCACCCACTCTCATCTTTTAGGTACAGGGGCTGGGCAGGGGTGAAGGCACACACTAAGGAGTGCGAGCTGGCTTCTGTCACAGCCCAGGCCAGCACACAGAGACAACCCTGCAGCACAGCCATGAGACGAGGCTTCCCTACCCTCCAGCCACACCAAGGCTGCCGGCAACAGCACCTGGAGCATGCTAGAAATGCAGACTCCCAGGCCCCACCCGAACCTGCCTACCAGGAATCTGCACTTTCACAAGGTCTCTAGGTGATACACAGACACACTGAATTCTGATCCTGGGGCCTTGGCTGCCCCTGCTAATAATCTGAGGGTTTCAAAAGCCATCATGCTTAGGTCCCACCCAAGACCAACCTGACATGGCGGGTCTGGCCTCATGATTTAAAGGTTTCCCAGGGGTTGCTAATGTGTCCCCAAGTCCAAGAGCCACAATCTCAAGGGCAGGACACAGGGTGACACAGTAATGCCTGCCAGCCAGTTGTAACCCACCACCCGTTTCTGTTCAATGTCTGAAAATGTAGTAATACTTCAGACACAAAAATTACAGGAAACTCAAACAAGTGTCCACAAAGTTTTATTGGATCTCAGCCCCACACACTGTTCCCACACTGTCCATGGCTGTCTTCCTGCCACAACAGCAGAGCTGAGCAATCAGGACAGAGCCCTCATTGCCCACCAGGCCCTTTGGAAACAATCTGCTGACTGCCTCAGCACCAACCAGGATGCTCCAGAGTCAGACTTGGCTCTGAGGCTGGCTCCTCTACTAGGTAGTTCGGTGGACTCGAGCAAGTAAAGGCACTGTCTCTGAAATGAGGGCAGTTAACACTCCACCTGGCAGTGGTAAGGCACCATCAGGTTAATGTTGGCCAGTTACCATTACCACCTGAACCTATCACCTGCCCAGCCACCAGGTAACCTCTGCCCCCAAACCCAAACCCCTCCTACAGACGGCTTCTTATAGCCTCCCATGGCCCCACCATCTGCCCTCCTGCTGCCTGGATAAATCATGTGCTCCACTCCCTCCGGTCCTCACCCTGGCCTGGACACCGACACCCACCAATGCCCACCCACCACCTCTCTAGACCAGGGTAAGCAGCAACCTGCAGACACCCCCAGCCTAACCACCTGGGATCTCCCACGTCGAGGACGCCTTCCGCAGTTCCAGGTCTGGCTCTGACCTCCAGCACTGCACCAGTGCTCCCTGTGGGGTCCCCATCCCCATCCCTGCACATGCCTGCTCCTGCCACACCCCTCCCAACCCAGCAGGCCCTGTCCTGTCTGCTGCCCTGACCCACTCCATGAGCCTACCCACTCCCAACTCTTCATCTCCAAGGGCCGCAGCTCTTCATCCAGCAAAAGTTTCTGCACAGGGCTTTGGATCCACAGCACACCTACCTCTCATCTCCTCAAACACAGCACATTCCTTCGCGGGCCTGCTGCCCTCCCACCCACCTCTGCCCCCAGCACCCACCACGACTCCAGAGCCCCCAGTTAGGATGAATCATAACAGTGTCCTCTGCTCCTTCATCAAAGCAGAGTCCCAAGCTTCCTGTAGTCACCCTTTCTTTTCCATCTAAATTCTGTGCTGAGGCCGGGCACGGTGCTCACGCCTATAATCCAAGCACTTTGGAGGCCAAGGCGGGCGGATCACCTGAGGTCAGGAGTTCAAGGCCAGCCTGACCAACATGGTAAAACCCTGTCTTTTAAATAAATAAATAAATAAATAAATCCTATGCGGGGCTGGACAGCTCCACTCCTCAGCCCTCTTTATGTGCCCACCATAATTTGACTGAAATTTCAGCAACCAGTCTCCTGGCTCTCAATCCTGTCCATCTACCTCCTGACACTCCCAACCCAAAAAGCCCTACTCCTACACCCAGAGGGATCATAGCTCCCACTCCTTACTCCTAGGATAAAATCGCAGCTGTTTAGCAAAGACTTCTAAGGTCCTGTGTGATCCAGCATTAACTTTCTCCCCACCTTCTCTCATCTAACAACTCAACACTCAAGCTGTACAGGACACAGGTCCCAGCAGGCTGTGGACACATCAGGTTCTACCACCTAATGCCACCACAGGCCACACACACTCTCCCTGAAACATTCTTCTCCTCCACCAGCCAACTTTGTTCCTTTAAGTTTCAGTGATGATGTTACTTTTGTTAATTCATTCAACAAGTATTTACACAGCACTCTGTGCTAATGACAGGAGATAAGGCAGTGACAGAGCCACCATTTCTGCCACACGGTGCTTGCTGTCTGGAGTGAGCTGGGGGTTGCCTGCTCATGTTTCGTCTCTCATATTTTATGTTCCACTTGGCAGTGGTAAGAAACCATCAGGTTAATGTTAGCTGGTTACCATCAACCATCTGGACCTACCACCTGCCCAGCCAATACAGGTAACCTCTGCCCCTAAACCCAAACCCTAACTCACAAGACAGTCACCACAGACGGCTTCTGCGGGGGAAGCCAGGAAAGTGTCATCATCACATTAGGTTAACAGAGCAATGACTCCTCATTAAAGTCTCCCAGCTTTACAGTGAAACCATATGGTATGATGGTTACAACTTCTAAAAACACAAAAGCAGCTGGGCACAGTGGCTCACGCCTATAATCCCAACACTTTGGGAGGCCAAGGCGGGCGGATCACAACGTCAGGAGATTGAGACCATCCCGGCTAACACAGTGAAACCTCGTCTCTACTAAATACAAAAACTTAGCAGGGCGTGGTGGCACTTGCCTGTAGTCTCAGCTGCTCAGGAGGCTAAGGCAGGAGAATCACTTGAACCTAGGAGGCAGAAGTTGCAGTGAGCCAAGATCATACCACTGCATTCTAGTCTGGGCAAAAGAGGGAGACTCTGCCTCAAATAAATAAATATACAAAAGTGCAAGCTCATGCACACAGTTAGGGTCAGGTCCCAATTCTCCTACCTCCTGACTGTATCATCTCACTGAAACCTTCCAACTTTAAGTTCAGGTTAGCCAGCTATAAAACAGATCATTTATACCTACCTTTTAAGGCCATCTTGAGGAGTGCTAGATATACTTTTGTACAATAACACACTGGCAAAGTAGCTGACATGTGATAAGCACCCCATAGTGACCACTTCTTTATTTTTAACATATCAAAAAAAGGCTGGATGCAGTGGCTCATGCCTATAATCCCAACATTGTGGGAGGATCACTTGAGGCCACGAGTTTGAGACCAGCCTAGGCAACATAGCAAGATCCCATCTCTTTAAAAAATATATTTTTTTAAATTAGCTGGGCATGGTGGTATGTGCCTGTAGTCACAGCTACTTGGGAAACTGAGGTGGGAGCCTTGGAGTTCAAGGCTGTAGTGAGCCGTGATTGCACCACTGCATTCCAGCCTGGGAAACAAAGTTAAGACTCTGTCTCAAAATTAAATAAAAATTTAAAACATACCAAAAAACATGGAAAACCAAATATCCACATACCCACAGCTGACTAAAACATTGCCAATACAATCGAAGACTCTACAAATTATACTGTGGCATCTTCAGATCACATTCCCCTCCTCCATACCACCTGCTTCCTACAAGCCTTTTTTTTTTTCTTTCTTTTTTTTTTGAGACAGAGTTTCACTGTGGCCCAGGCTGGAGTGCAGTGGTGTGGTCTCAGCTCACTGCAAACTTTGCCTTCTGGGTTCAAGCAATTCTCCCACCTTAGCCTTCTGAGTAGCTGTGATTACAGGTGTCTGCCACCACACCTGGCTAATTTTTGTATTTTTAGTAGAGATGGGGTTTCATCATGTTGGCCAGGCTGGGCTCAAACTCCTGACCTCATGTGATCTGCCTGCCTTGGCCTCCCAAAGTGCTGGGATTACAGGCGTGAGCCACCACACCATGCTCTCCCTAACCCTAACATCTTTTTAGAGTTTCCTTTTGCTTTCAGACTTTAGAGAAGAACATCCTCCAAGATGGCCCCTCACCCCTCCATGAGCCCTGCCTCCTGGAGCTCAAGCCCCCACTATTGGTTATGGGGTAGCCAGTATCGCAGTGCAGAAATGAATGCATATGACTCCAAGTCTAGGGCATAAAAGATATCCACCTTGCTCTCTCTTGCAGCACTTGCTCTGGAGAAAGCCAGACTCCATCATGTTGTGAGGACATGCCAGCACCCCTGTGGAGAAGACCGCATGGTGAGGAACCGAAGCCTCCTTCCAGCAGCATGAGTAAGGGAGGTACCCTGGAAGCAGATCCTCAGCACCAGTCAAGCCTTAGGATGATGTAACCCAGGTAACATCTTAAATGCAACTTTAAGAGACCCTGAGGCAGAACCACTAAGCTAAGCTGCTCCCAAATTCCTGGCCCACAGAAACTGTAAGAAAATAAATGTACGTTGTTGGTTTAAGCCACTAAATTTTGAGGTAAGTTGTTATGCAACAATACATAACTAATATCAAGGCATGTACAAAGAACTGAGACATAAAGCACTGGTCCCACTCTAATGGATGTAAAAAAATTAGGATCAGGTTAAGCGTGGTGGCTCATGCCTGTAATCCCAGAACTTTGGGAGGCTGAGGTGGGTGAATCAT